AATATATATATATATATATATATATATATATATATATATATATATATATATATATATATATATATATACACTGGGGGTGAGGAGGTGACAGGACAGGGGGAAGAGATATTACATACACACAACTCCTATTATATACACTGTACTTAATCTGTATTCTTTGTATTTTTTATCTATTTATTTATTTTTTGCTTAATTTAATTTAATCTAATTTAATACTTTTTTTGCACTGTAAGCTGCTGGTAACCTTAATTTCCTGATGGAGTCTTCCCAAGGGATCAATAAAGTACTGTCTAAGTCTAAGTCTAATTCTATATATATATATATATATATATAGATATATATATATACTGTATGTATATATGTATATACAGTATGTATATATTTATTTATATGTATATTATTGATGTTTTGTTGCTAAAAATTTTACTCTGGTATCCAAGAAATTGACATTTCGTTGTCAAATTCACCTCGTGTTTTTGACAATGACAATAAAGGAAGTCTATGTCTGTGTCTATGTCTATGTATATATGTGTATGCCGTTGTTTTATTTACGGAGCCAGTAACAAAATGAATTTCCCTCTGGGATTATTAAAGTATTTCTGATTCTGATTCTGATTAAAATGGACCGTGTTGAAACTGTAAAATTTCTGGTGAGAGAAACGTCTATGAATCGAAAAACAGGCGACAGAAACAGGCACCAGACCAAAAAAAAATGGCCGGTGACTTTGACTTTTCCCCATAGGCCTGAGCTGACAGTGGAGGCCCCGGAGTCCTTCTTCCACCTTTAGTCCTCAGAAAAACAACGTAAACCCCAATGGCATCGACTTTAAAATGCAAATCTCACATTCCCACCTGCAAAGTGCAGCTGTAAGAATGATAATTGCGGTTCGGTGTCTAAATATAGCTCAAATTTTTAAAACTTTTTCTGTAATACTTAGTTAAGCCTTTAAATGTGTGCATTTCCAAAAGGTATTCATTTGAGTTTTTAACTTTGATGATCTTTGAAGCTGCGACAGGAAATGATTTGGTCACATTTATGAATGATTAAAGACTGTGCTGTATCTCAGCTTTAGGATTTTTAACTTAACCCTTTAAAATCTGCAAAAAAATGCATTATTGTAGCAACAACAACCAGGATAAACACTTTTTTTAACAGATAGTTGGGGTAAAAGTGTGAAATTTAAAAAACATATATCATAACTCGTGTTTAGTGCTGTTTATAACAGGATGAAGTTTTGAATAATTGCTTTTCAGAACTCTGCAGAACTGGTAGATGTCCAATAACTCCTCCTCCTCTCTTTTCAACTAAATTTTTAATCATATTAGGCATCATTTAATATATGTTTATGTTTATATATCCTTAAACGTGTTCAGGGTTAATAGGAATTGTATATAATTCATCTATAACAGTTTTGTTTATTTTATTTTATTTTTTTAAGTAATACCGGTGTCCGTGTAATAAAAAATGAGCTGGTTTAATTTAGGTTATCACGTCTCTAAACTTAACCCAATGGGTTGAGCAGGATGTTAAATGCACTTTTTTCTATTCACGGTAAACATCACTGAGATATATTAGCTATGGAAACGTATTTTTAATGTAATTTCAAAATAAAATGGCCAGATGTCACAGCAAGATGGGTCCAGACTCACTCAATTTTAGCCAAATTCAAACAGGTGGACGAAAAAAAGCCAGGACTTATGTCCATGTAGGCTTGTAAATATTCAAGTACTGTAAAAATGACAGATTTCTAATGTTTCTCAACCATGTGCTTATCAGTATTTACCACAGATCATGACTAGAAACAGACAGTAAGTCTAAGTTTATCAGACGGGGAATGATACGTTTGAGGTTAAATGTTTTCACTGAGCTGTAACCCGACAATCAGATTTCCAAGAGGGATATTATTTTGAATTAAATGTTATTTCTGTATAAATAATGGCTGTTTTCCATTGGTGAGGTAGGATTGGATCAGAATAAGAAGCTTCCCTGTGACCCCCAAGAGGAGGAAACAGGTTTATAGAACATATAAAGTACAGACAATGGCAAACCAGGGACTATTTCCAGGATTCGGGGGTTTGTTTTTAGGGAAATGTGGAAGCTGCTAATGTTTTTGGTATCTCCTAACGGACCAGCCAATCAGGATATGTAAATATGGGGTTTTGCATGGCGTACGAAACTGAATCTGATACTGAAAGAGTCTCTAGAAACTGAAATTGGCCTCCTGACACGGAGTAAACCAAAAATCCAGAGTGTGGGGGAAGCAAAAAAGTAGCATCTGGCTGATATTTTCAGTTTCAGCTCCACAGCTGTACGGCAGATTTAGTGTTGACGGAGGCAGGAAACGATGTTCTTTAACCCTATAATGCCAAATGTGTCATATTTGATTCATACGGTTTCTGAAGTGTTTTGGATCTGAGACTTTTTGCATCATTTAATGGTAAAAGCTTTGCTCAAACCCCTGTTGGACACATTCAGATATACCCGATAACAGCCAGTAGAAGACTACACCAAAATACATTTTTGACTTATTGTAGGCTAATTTGATCATAGTAATTTGTTTTTTTCTTCATATGTTGTTGAGGGGCCAAAGAAAGACTTCAGACTAAAATAATCCAATATTCTGCCTATTTTTCTTGGATCAGGCTTTAAAGGGTTAAAAAGCCAAATAAGAAATTAAAACAAAAAAAAAGTGATTTTCTGTTTTGTTTTATTCTTGGATCGGGCTTTAAAGGGTTAAAAGGCCAAATAAGGAATTCAAACAAAAATGAAAAAGGAATTTTCTGTTTTGTTTTACTCTTGGATCAGGCTTTAAAGGGTTAAAGCTAAAGTGAAGCTGCGGTTTCCTTCATCTCACCACAAAAACGCAGCCAAAGGCATCTTAAAACCGGGCCGGGTCGATCATTTCCCGGTTAACAAAAGGGGCCACAAAAAGAAAAGAGACAGATCTCCTGTTCCAGCAGAATCTGAATAATTAGATCGTCTTCACATCTGAGAAACCTGATCTAATCAGCTCAGACAACAGAGACTCTCCGGGGCCTTTTGTTTGGGGGAATCAAACCCATAACAGAGTTAGAAAATACCTCCTCTGGACAGAACAGATCATTGTAACTGGAAGAGTTAGAGAGAGAAGGAGAGAAGGATTCTCCTCCTTCATTCCTCCGTCCTGAATAGAAACGATACTCACACCGCCCTGTTTTTTTTATTTTTTAGTGTTAGCAGACTCCCGGGTCAGACCCCCGATGCATTACAGTGTTATGTAACATGTAAGCATCCTCGCTTACATGTTACATAACACTCGAATAGCAGCATGTTCAGAGGGAGATTCAGGAGCAAAAATCATACCAGAGTTCACCAGGACTTTGGAACCGTTGTGTTTGATTAGTCAGAATAGTGTAAGGATTATACAACTAAAGGCCTTTTGTATTTAGCTTAAACAGTCTCCAGATGGGACAGTTTGGATGGTTGATATTTTATAGTAAAAAAGGGAAGGTTTGGCTATGTTTACTTGATGAAATAAGTCAGAACATGGTTCCATTATTGTGCAAGCAGTCAACCTACTTTGGAAACAAAAAAAAATAAGTTTTGCAATGGACTTAGAAGTGAATTTAAAAAAAATAAATAAATAAATGTACAGTTATGTTTGATTAGTCAGTATACGTATTTTACAAGCAAAGGCCCTTTGTATTTAGCTTAGAATAAAGAGCATCCAGATGGATAGTTTATATTCTATAGTCAAAGGGAAAGTTTGGCAATGTTTACTTTATGAAATAGGTTGTCATTTAGAACATGGTTCCATTATTGTGTGAGCAGTTTTGACAAAGTCAGCCAAGTAATCCCAGCTCAGTCACCCTACTTGGAAACTAAAACAAAGAAAAAAGGGCAAATTTTAGTTTTGCAATGGACTTGAAGTGGATTTTTCTTTTAGAAATAAATTTTAAAAATTAGTAAGATCTGGTATTAAGACTACCTAATTCCCAATCTACTTGGTGGGAAACTATACCAGTTAACTGCAATAATGAACCTAATCCTATAAATGTCCAATATCCAAGTGTGGCAATGCTTACTTTATGAAATAAGTTGTCATTTAGAACATGGTTCCATTATTGTGCAAGCAGTGACCCTACTTTAGAAGCAAAAAACAAAAAGTTAATTTAGTTTTGCAATGGACTTTAAGTGGATTTGAAAACAAATTTAAAAAATGCAGACTATTAATACCCGATCTTTTACTTGGTGGGAAACTATACCACCATGCCTGTAATAATTAACCTAATCCTATAAATATCTAAGATGATAATGTAAATGTGGTACCGAATAAAAATTCAGGAGTCCAGATGCAATGCAAATTTTTTTTAATGCAGTAGACTACAAGAGTGGCCCAAAAAAGAAACTTG